TGTGGGGGTTAAGACCTCGAAGCAGACATTCCATCTGGCCTGGCTTGTTTTTAAGGTAAAGTTCTGTTGGGAGTTTACACGGGAGACATCTCCTGTCACGCAGGGTGCAGTTGCACCACCACAGATTTCCTGTATCATCTATTGATACTGGTAATGGCTCAAAAGGGCCACCACTTACGGGCTATTCATGCCCGTGCCACCTTTTGGCTGGCTTAATCTTCATCATTCAATCCTTGGGAGTTTAAGTGCAGTTATAGGAATTCACAGTAGACCAGACCACACACTAGAAGGTGAAGGGACGACGACGTTTCGGTCCGTCCTGTACCATTCGCCTGCATAGGTAAGTTTAAAACCATTGCCTCTAGCTAGGAATTTATTTCTTTTAGGATGTGTTCGATTATAACTACTTTGTTTCATAAACCTGTGATTGATTAATGGTGTTTAGAGTTTTTCCCCCAATTTTATCATTTATTCCCTGTTGAATCCTGTGTTTTTGAATGAGGGTTAGATGGTGGCAGCGTTTGAAGTTCCAGGTCTCAGGAATTCCCTAACAATTTTATCGATTCATGTTACTATTTTGTACGTAGTGATCATATCACCTCTGTTTCTTTTATCTTCTAGTTTAGGCATATTTAATGCCTCTAACACTTATTTATGTAGATATGCTTTCACAAGACAAGCCCGGCCCCAGAGTAGGCTCAACACAGGACAACTCTCAGAACCCTCCAGGTATACTCCAGGCATACTCCAGGCATACTCCAGGCATACTCCAAGTATCCATCTTAAACTAGCTACACCATACAGGATTAAATAAATCAAATGAAAAAAATTGCAATCTTTAGTGGAACCTCTCGTAAAATATTACAATATGTTGACATAAGTCATAGCATTGAAAACCAGTACCAATTTGATTTCTCACAAATGACATCAGTTACTCAAGAGCTCATGTGTGGCATATCTCTTGCTACATATAGCAAGATGTTATATCTTGCTACATGTAGCATACAACTTGCTATATATATAGCAATTACAAAATATTTGTTTTTTGAAAGAACTGTGATTTATCTTGGCATAACACTATCCCATAAAATTTTCTACATTTAAATTATGTAAGAAACTGTATTTCTGATATCTTCATATGACAGGGATGTGAGTCTCTGGCTCGTTGACACCACATAATAATAATGACATTAGACTTAAAAAGAGATTATTACAAGCATGAAACATCCAGGTAGTCAGACTAGGAAAGCAGCAAGAATGACTTGGAATGACTGTTAGAATTTTGGAAAAATGCCAGCAAGCTCACAGCCACTAAGCAAATTCTTGAAATAGATAATCCCTCAAAGCAATTTTATCTTGTGAGTTAAATTTATCTCCACAAAATCCAAAAAGATTCTCTTTAAATGCAGTAAGTGGCTCATGAACTTCCTTATCACATTTGCATCTTCAATTTTTTATATAAATTTGTCTAAGACACCCTTCTGACACACCACTATGCTCTTTTGTTTGACCTTTTAACATTCCCCTACACATTACTAGTGACCTCAATCAACTCGTTTTATTTTTTTAGCCATTCTTCTAACATTCTCGCTCACTACTGGCTTAGAAGACCTTGGTATTATGCTCGTTCTTTTCTTGACCAGCCTCCACTTCACAATATAGTAGTAGTAGGTATCCATCAGTCTCAGGAGACTATGGAATTGCGCTCTGGTTGTCGGTCTGGAGTGGCCCCACCAGGGCGCAAAGCCAGGGTAGGTTGATTCGGGGGAGAAGCTGTTACCCAGGCAGCAGGTCCCCCCTCTCCACGGCGCCGAATGTCTCCAATGGAAAGGCATGCGCCTTTATCAAATAGTCATACATGTTTATGCGGTACAGTATAGTACTGTACCGCATAAACATTTACCATATTTTCGGCCAAATCAGATGTCCCCTAATTTACATGAAGATTTTGCAAAACAAACAATTTTAGTGTTTCATCATACATTTCTTGACACCAATTTTAAAGTGGATGTGATTTAACCACACCAATTTTCAAGTGAATGTGATTTAACCACACCAATTTTCAAGTGAATGTGATTTAACCACACCAATTTTCAAGTGGATGTGATTTAACCACACCAATTTTCAAGTGAATGTGATTTAACATGTCTCCTGTGTATATGAGGGGTTAAAAGACAGGTCACCTTTATGTACACAGAGTTGGTGGTCAACCAAATCCATGCATCCTATACCCCAGGAAATACGGCAGTTCCCTATTTTATCACTTTATCTAGTGCGTAGAGAATTGCCTCAATTGTGCAGTTTTAAGTATTTAATAGTTTAAAAATGAAACTGTACTGACTATAAAAACTGTACTAAATTAGCTGGAGCACTGTATAATGAAACCTGCAAAAGGAAGATGATGAAATGTCATGAATGAGGGAAATGAAACCTATTGCAAGCAGTAGCTGCAAGTTGTGATGATTCACAGATGAATAAAGAGGCATCAATGAAAAAAGAAATAGCTGCTTATGTCAAATATTTACCAAGGTATTAAAAAATAGATCAAAAGTAGTATACACGGGGCCTGAAAGCTGAGTGGACAGCACTCGGGATTCGTAGTCCTGAGGTTCCGGGTTCGATCCCCGGTGGAGGCGGAAACAAATTGGCAGAGTTTCTCTCACCCTGATGCCCCTTTTCACCTAGCAGTAAATAGGTACCTGGGAGTTAGACAGCTGCTACGGGCTGCTTCCTGGGTGTGTGTAACAAAAAGGAGGCCTGGTTAAGAACCGGGCCACAGGGACACTAAGCCCCAAGATAACCCACACAAGAAACAAAACAAAGAAATTAAATGGTTCCTTGTAAAGAAAAAAGCAAATTAGAGTAATAGAACCAAGCCGAGTAACACGTTATGCTGAAGCAAAAAGTTAAATTTAACGAGGAAACATTAGAAGTGTAAATATAGGACACATTAAAGTGTCTTTTATAAATGCAATGCAGTATTAAACTGATGGAAGAAGGACTGCATTTTGTGTTATCATTGCCTGCCTCTTTATCCTTTTACATCAAGTATGGTAATGGAACGATGCAATGGAATATTTAAATCCATAAATTGGTACGGGACGGGGAGTTAATAGCAGCCATTGTTAAAATATTCCTGGGTGAAAAAAAAAGACCCAGAAATGAACAAAATATCAACCAGGATGTTAGTAGAAAGTGTTGATAGTCATAGATCAATTGCACAAAAAATTCATACTTGCTTGTAAAATAAGAAATGTGCAAAATGACTGGATAAAAGCCAAAACAGTTCCCTCGTACAAAGGCAAGGATAGTAAGGAAGAATGTAAATATTACAGATACCTCCTGAATATGCCACAAACAACATATGGAAAAACTGCAACTAAAAAAAAGATGAAGAAACTTACAATGATGATGAACAAATCCACAAGGGCCGTGACGAGGATTTGAACCTGCGTCCGGGAGCATCCCAGACACTGCCTTAATTGACTGAGCTACGACAGGGTAAAATGTGTAATGATGTAAGGACAAAGAGGGAGAATGGCCTATTGACATAGCTCGGGTGCAGGGTGGGGGAGGGAGTTGTGTAAAATCCTGGTTTGTGCCTAGGAAAGGCTACGGGATCCAGTAAGTTCAGTAGAACTTCGGTTTCAACCCTTTTACCCTGTTGTAGCTCAGTCGATTAAGGCAGTGTCTGGGATGCTCCCGGACGCAGGTTCGAATCCTCGTCACGGCCCTTGTGGATTTGTTCATTTGATGCATCACGTTAGTGTGATCTGTGTGTGTTACAATGATGATTTTTAGGTGCTAGAAAATTTAAGTAAAGGTAGAAGATGAATACATTATTCCTTTCATGTTAAGTTGAAAGCGGAAAATATATTGTATCACAAAAGACTTTCATAACAGTGGATTTGAACACATCATAAAAAAGATTTAAGATTTTATGCTGCAGGAAGGAAAACATCAGTTGCCATATGGACATTTTTTAATTAAATTAGAGCATGTGTTTAAACCAAATGGGAGACTATTTGACTATTTCAAATTTTTGAAATAGCAACATGAATATAAGCAAGGTGATGTAACATTCATAACTATTTAACACAATGCACATATATATAGATGAAGCTCTCAAAGAGATGGCAGTGAGAGTGGGTCGGCTGGTAGCAAAGTCAAATCTGGATGGCAATACAGAGTCCCAGATGAGCAGGCTTTTCTTTGTGATTAGATGCTGAAAACATGCGTGAAACACTGGTGACAAAGAAGGCATGGGAGTGCAACGGAAAAGAAGGAATGGGAGTACAACAGAGATCAGTGACTGGCTCACTACCAACATTTAAAACAAGGGAATGGACGAGAAAATACGATTGCATGATGACTTGATTGCATGACCTGACTGACATGATGTCAGGACTCCTGTCCTGGGGCCAGATTCATGAAAGCACTTACGCAAGCACTTACGAACGTGTACATCTTTCCTCAATCTTTGACGACTTTGGTTACATTTATTAAACAGTTTACAAACATGAAAACTTACCATTCAACTGTTGTTATTGTTATAAACAGCCTCCTGGTGCTTCGGAGCTCATTAACTGTTTAATAACTGGAAACAAAGCCACCAAAGATTGAGAAAAGATGGACAGGTTCGTAAGTGCTTTGGTGAATCTGGCCCCTGACCTATAAATTAGGTACCTAGTGGAATAGTAAGCCATCACAATAGTTAATAATGGAAGAAACAGAGACAATGTTGTTAATAACAGAATAGTTAATAACAGAAGAAGCAAAACATTGCAAGCAAAATCCAAAGAGTGAAAGTCTCCTGTTTGCGTCACGCTGATGAATTCCCCCGACCCTATGAAAGTGTGAAGCTGGGTGGTGATGGTGGTGGTGGAGTTCAGGGGGTCAGCCATGCTTAACCTACAGTAATCACGGAAATGTAATCTTCAGATTAAGCTGCATAATCAAGCTTTGGAGGATAATTCCTAATGTGGGCATCAAAGTTATGAGAGTAGACCAGCTTTATTCCTCTTTGGCACACACCACTTTAAGTATCAACTGATCACTTACAAAAAGTTTTTAAGAGCTCTCCTATGTAACAAGAAAATTCATTTTCAATTCAGATTACAATCAAATTTTAGCATCTAGATTACAAACTACAGTAAGATTACATAAAACCCTCCTATACAGTAGTCTGTTATGAAATTCCACAATCAATGAACTTTTTTTTTTTTTGGACTTGGCGTATCTGCACATTATACCACTCTACAAGCCCCACGAGCAAATCTGAGCAAACAACGTTGATAACGCTGGCTGATCAACCAGGTCTGATCAACCAGGTCTGATCAACCAGGCTGTGATTCGTACGTCAGGCTGCGAGCAGCCGCGTCCTACAGCCTGGTTGACCAGTCCAGCAACCATGAGGCCTGGTCGACAACCGGGCTACGGGAACGCTGAGCCCCGGAAGCACCTCAAGGTAACCTCACGGTAACGCTGTTCAAACAAAATTGACCCACAGGGACTGTACATTAATGTCACACTGTGATATAATTGTCAGAAAAACTAACAGCAGATTAATTAAAGATTAGTTTGGTTTGGTAAAATTGGTTTACAGTTTGGCCAGTGCAGTTATATCTGGTATATCTGAGCAATCTGCTCAGATATTTTTTCAACATACAATTTGTATGTTGAAATTTGTTTACACTTAATAAATACATGCTTATATTATTTTAATTAGAAACTAACTAATTTAAATATTGCTAAATATTCTTGTACACCTGTAACTCTGCAGAAAGCATATTTCTGATCTTTCAATGTTAAAAGTGAGATATATTAAAAGTGATGTTAAATGTCTGTAAATATTTACCTGTAGTGTTAAATTCGGTTCACGCCAAACTTATTCTTACCCACAATACAATGCAAGAATAAATCAAAACATGGATAAGTTTAAGATTAGAATATCAATATTAGACGAAACAAAAACACTAGTCCAAATATAATTACCAGTATGTTTATCCATAAATATATTATGTTCATATTAAAAAACATATTAACCCATTGATATATGTAACTTATCTTGAATCAAACTTGAATCAAACATGAAAATGGTTTCATGAAACAAAAACTGATAAGAAAAGCAGAGCTTACACGAATATAAACACACCACAGGACCTAGACAGACTGTAGGTAAAGGCAGAAACGTTGGTAATTTATCTAGTTAACACTTTGCCTAGGCTGGCGCGCCACCCTCAGCACACCACAAGGTAGGCCAGGCACAGTCCCAGGCGGGACCCGTGAGTGCAGAACCACACTGCAAGGTAGGCCAGGCACAGTCCCAGGCAGTGCCCGTGAGCACACAACCACACCGCAATGTAGGCCAGGCACAGTCCCAGGCAGTGCCCGTGAGCGCACAACCACACTCCAATGTTTAAACTGTTTCCAATTTTCTCACCTCAATGTTAGTTCATTTTTTTTATCAAATTGGCACAAGACATTGCTGCACATTTTAAAACAAGTCTCATAATAATCGGAAAATAAATAGAATTTTGGGGCATTTTGGACACACATTGCCTCTTTCCCCAAATTATGTGAATTGATTTTAGGACGCAAAAAGCGTTATCCCCCCCAGTTAAGTAACACCCCAACGTAAGTGTTACTTAAAGTGCTTAGCCAGAATGGTCAAATACCACTTCAATGTATAATTCAATCTAATGTAATTAAAAACTACTAAAAATGCCAATACAAAAGCAGAAATACATAACCTTATTTAAATGGAAGGAACTGGAATCACTGAACACACATCAAGCAAACACTGTTGGGAAGCACAGTTTCCTATCATCCTTCAGAGAAGCATAGTCAACTAATAGATACAAGAACCTAAGTTGGACAAGACAGTCACAACAACAATGGGCAGAGCTATTTTCCATTAAAGAAGCATGAATCAACCAAGTACAATATACGAGGGAGGCATGTGTAAAAATATACAAAAGGAAAATATCTGGAAGGAAATCTAACGCTAATGTTATCACGAGATGCACTTATAAACTAAATAGCATATGCATATGTGGAACTAGAACTAGAGAGACCATTAGCCGCGACCATTAGGATCAGCCCATCCTAATGGTCGTAGAGACTATTAGGATGGATTTGAAGACCTTTGGCAAAGAATTCTTCAACCACAATACGCAGCTCCAGCATGAAATCGATACCAGGTAATAAAAAAAAAAGATGCAGAAACTCAAACAAATTTAAACAAGAACAGTAATAGCGATATGAGAAAGGAACTGAGGACCAGAACTGAAAATAAATGAAGTGAAATAAATGAAGCCACGAGTGAAAGCTTCAACGCCAAGTGCGTCAGAGTACTGGAACATCAGGAGGAATAAATAAATAAACTAGTTACCATAGCTAAGGGATGGGTCCCTAGAACTAGAGCTCCCCTCCCATTAACACAATTAGGTAGGCACTTTTCAATTCATAAAAATAATATATTTTTGCAAGCATTTGCCATTCATACCTTAAATGCTCTAATGCTGTGGAAAAGTCAATTTTTTAGTCATAGTTACAGGAGTTCCGGAATATTTAACAATATGTCACTTACTTAGTTTTCTGTCAGTGTCTAAATGCATTATAATTACTTATAAATATATATTTTTTAATACAAATGGCAAACTATTGACAAAACAAATAATAACAAATAATAATATTAAAAACAAATGTAATCACTAACAATACTCTAAATTATACGTCATTTATGGTACTCGGGCCACCGATTCTATGTATAGTAATGACCAGCTCTCAATATTACATTGCTCAAAATAAATAAAGATGTATAAAATTCATGTATCATATGCACTCTCGATATCACAGTTATTTTTGTTGTCATTTCTTTCATCACAGCTCAATGACAGTCACCCAGAATGCATAAAGGTGCATAGCACTCACCGTCTACAGCCAAGTCAAACTGGTACCCAATGGAGACTTGCCGGGTAGATAAATAGACCTTCAGGATAAAACTATTTGTAAAAATTTAAAACATGAGACATTATATTTAGTGAGGATAAAATGTCTCATCTTCATGATTAGCTGCCAAGATTAACTCTAAAAGAGTGTCTCGGTAGCACTGGTAGTGGACCCCCCCCAGTATCTCTAAGTCAGTCTCAAACATTGTACAGTCAGGCTGAAAATATTTATCTATAAATCCACATTGTTCAGATCTATTCCTGAAGCAGATGGAAGAGCAACATCCTCTGGAGGAAGGAACTTTCCGATGGGTTGGATGGAGTTCTGAGGATGGAGAGAAAAACACATTAGTAGTATGTAAACTTAAATCCACATTAATATATACAAATTTGAAGACAGGATGCAAGAGAATAGGATCAACACTTAACATAAGAGACTGTGATCAACCTGTCATCTCGTTTAATACATCGTATTTTGACGTCAAAATATGATGTATTATAAATCATGGTGGCTTGCAAAATTGACAGGCTGTCAAGCTTGATATTCGTGGGTACATCAGTTAGGTTAGGTTAGGCTCGGGCAATTTAGTATATCATTTTCTAAAGGGAGGGCTGAATGTAATTTCTAGAGAACAGGCTGAATAATCACCAGAGAAGACAAGCCCAAGCTGATGCAGCTACAAAAAATCAACGTTGAATGTAATGAGACGCCATTTTCTGGGCGAGCCTCGGAGGCTCCCTGAAGCTATCAAACTGACATGTTCCATATTATTTGGCGCCATCGGTCCCTGGAGTTTGAGTGCCTACCCAGGGTCCCACGAGCCAGAACCTGGCCCTCTCACAGAGGCGCAGGGAGCAATGGCCATATGAACACTCTACATTTCGAGTTTGTCATGTCTGCCATCGACCGGGGATACCACATAGCCTATCTTTCTGGGTATATGCCCTGGTCGATGGTGGAATATGACATACTTTAAATGTAAAGTGTTCATAACCCAATGCTCCCTGCACCTCTCTGAGGGAACCAGGTTCTACTCATGGTCCTCAGTAGGCCTAGGGACTCCAGTGACTGACGGCCCCAAACTAATAAAGCACATATCAGTTCGGGTAGCTTCAGTGAGCCGACGGGCCTCCCCCCCAGAAGGACTGTAAAGTGGGGTACAGACGCTAGGTCTCACCTCCCACAGACACCAAATGATGGGCAAGAGTGTTATAGGAATGACTCGGCATGTAAGTCATTCAATCGGGTGAGACTGAACAGAAATGACTCAGTCATGTGAGACTGACACTATGAGAAATGTTATGCATAGGAGTCAAGACACAGTAGGAAAGCTGAGTTCCATACCTTCATTTCTTGCAGTTTCAGCATTTCTTGCTTGAGCTTATTAATGATGGAAGTATTGGGTTGATTGACTGTGGCATTTGACTGCAGTAATGTGATCTCTTGTTCTTCTGCTTTTTTCTCTCTCATGGTTTGCATTGATCTATTTCCATACAACCTTAGTAAAGATCCCCAGCTACTGATGTGTGGATGAAGTTTCTGTAAAAATAAAATAGTCTTAAAATCAAATCATAAAGTCAATAAATGCAGAATCATTTAGTTGCTCAGGCAGGATGATTGTCTAACACAAAAGACACAGGAATCTTTTTCTCTTTTCTAAGATTCACAGGAATCTTAGTCCCTGCCCGATAAGTGACACGAGACAGTCGGGAAGAAAATAATTTGAGTTGGATGTGCGTAATATTGCCCCCTGGTACTGACTTAGTTGTACTTGCAGGGGTCGAGCTTTTGGCTCTTGGATCCCGCCTCTCAACCCTCAGTCTACTGGTATACAGAGTCCTGAGCTTCTCGAGCTCTTATCATATCTACATGGTGATAGCCAACGTGTGTGGAGAGGCCAACAAGTGGCAAGCACCCTTGTTTGGCAAGGGCATTTGCCACTCTACGCTTGAGGTTACTTGAAGAGTAAGCCCATGATGCCTTTTGCTTGATAGTTACCTAAAGAGTAAGCCCATGATGCCTTTTGCTTGATAGTTACCTAAAGAGTAAGCCCATAATGCCTTTTGCTTGATAGTTACCTAAAGAGTAAGCCCATAATGCCTTTTGCTTGATAGTTACCTAAAGAGTAAGCCCATAATGCTTTTTGCTTGATAGTTACCTAAAGAGTAATCCCATAATGCCTTTTGCTTGATAGTTACCTATAGAGTAAGCTCATGATGCCTTTTGCTTGATAGTTACCTAAAGAGTAAGCCCATAACACCTTTTGCTTGATAGTTACCTGAAGGATGGCCTGAGAGGCTCTCTGCTTGCCGTCCTTCTTGTTTTTACACTGCACCTGTACTGTGTGCTTCCCAACAGTCATCACAAATTCATTTTTTTGATTCTTCTGTGTCACTAATCTTGAGTCTATGTTTGCCCCATTAAGGCCAAAGTTCCTTTGTAAGCAGTTGAGTAGTATGGAGTATGGAGAAAGCTCACTGGTCTTGTTACATAGCTCGGGGACTCGGGGGTCTTCAATGCGAATCTCGTCAAAGAACTGTAAATTGGTAAGCAGAGGATATAATGATTTTCTATTTTTAGCATCTGCACTGTAATTACTTTAATGAGCTCTATCCTTTATGGAATCAACCCACAACATATATACACAAGGAATACTGTAATATTTTAGTCCAAAGTGAATTGTAACTGCATTACAATTACTTTTAAATATAAGGCAGGTGCCCCACATTTATACCTTAATGTTGTATATAGAAAATAGAAACTGCTTGCATTGGAACCCATCTGCTGTGTACACTTTTAAAGAAGCACAATTTAACAAAATCTAACTTTAAGATTTTATAATACACTAAATGCAGTTTTCTCTAGGAAAAAAACAAGGTTATTAACTAGAAACTACTGGTGTAAATAATGTTAGGTTTATCAGTCACTTAGTTCCCAGGTACCTTCCACTTTCTGCTAGGTGAACAAAGGCTTCAAGGTACAGTATAAGGAAATGTGCCCAAATGTCACAATCTGCCTCAGAAATACAAAATAATATACACAATGAAATTCCAATAACGTGATCTTTTGGACAAGGCGTGCACCTTGGGGGGGTGGGTGACCCAGGGTGCTGGGTAGATCCCACTGCCATACTCAAAAGATTTTCTCAAAATAAATGAGTAAGATTTTAATTTGGAAATATACAATATAATGATAACTATGAGAATAGCCATCACAGGCACCCATTACTCACAGACAGATCAGCATCTCCTTTAGTGTTCGACTCCTCTCTGATCTTTTCCCCCAGCTCAGGCAACAGGATTTCTAGCGTTGCCTTGGCGGCCTCTGTTTTAGCTTGCTTTTTACTGCTCCCATATCCTGTGCTGTATTGCATGTCATTGATAATAATGGTCGCTGCATAAGGAGTTGCTGCATTTTCTGGTGGAGAATGAAAAGGGACGAGATGAGAAGTGACAATAACGTTGCTGAAAAATGTTGACCAAATCACACACTAGAAAGTGAAGAGACGACGGTGTTTTGGTCCGTCCTAGACCATTAACAAGTTGCGACGAAACGTCGTCGTTTTTTCACTTTCCTGTGTGTGGTTTGGTCAACAAGAGGTATGAGGTGCTAACCTCTCAACAGAAATGGGTGTTGCAGTCTAGTTATACAAACAAATTATTGCACACATAATCTTTTATATACACAAACACCAAATTGAGAGCTGACTTTATTTTGAGATAATTCAGGACTAGTGCTTATACAGATAAAATGAGGAAGGATTGAGGTTATGTAGGTGAAGTTGCATGGATGTCGGATAGATGAAGTTGCATGGATGTTGGGTAGGTGAAGGTGCATGGATGTCGGGTAGATGAGGGTGTGTGGATGCCAGGTAGGTGAAGTTGCATGGATGTTGGGTAGATGAGGGTGTGTGGACATCTGGTAAGTGAAGGTGGGTGGATGCCAGGTAGGTGAAGGCTTCTTTATGGAAAAATTCAGCAATGCTTCTGGCCAAATACTACAAAATATATAAATTATGGGGTAATACCTTATTTTGTTGACCTCTCCGTACCTTCACCTCCCTGACCTAATCCCACATTCATCTTCCTGATTACCTATCCACCTTTCCCCCATTATGGAATAAAGTCCACCAAATAAGAGATAATCCTTTTAAATACACAAATACTAAGACAACAACTTACCAACTTCTTTGAAGACATATTTGGGTTGCTTTTTTAAAGCGTGTTGAACATATTCGTGCAGGATACATACGTAACTCTTTCCTTTAGGGTTCATAATCCATTCCTTTTTACTGCTAGCTGCTGGAGCACCATCCTCCTCTGAAAATATATATACGTATATTTAAGGCATATAATTGAAGCATGTACTGTATGCCATTTCTTATCAATCTTCTTCAATTTGTGTACTTCCTACCAACCCAATTCTCAGCACACACCTTCAGCCACTTTGTATCAGAATCTCCCCAGCAATCTCTCATTTACAGACTTCCTCTCCAATCTTTCATCTTCCATCGTAACTAATATTTAACATTTTACCCATTCCAGTGAATAATGTCATCCTAAAGTAGCCATGATATCAAATCCAACTGCCAACTGCTCTGCATTTAAGCAAACCAGTACAAATTTGGTTAATTGTTGATAAAGTGGACGACTACAAACAGTATGATATGAGTCCCAAAATAGCATACGGCAGGCATAGGGATCCTTCAGCCAAAAAAAAAAGTGTCAAATCCAGCTGGTGTATACTTTGTAGACGAGGAGTCACAATAACGTGGCTGAAATATGTTGACCAGACCACACACTAGAAAGTGAAGGGACGACAACTTTTCGGTACGTCCTGGACCATTCTCAAGTCGATTTCAAGTCAAGTCCATCAATGGTGTATATTTTCTTCACTATTATGTAGAAATAGTGAAATTTAAAAATCACATGAAATGTATTTGGCAATAAGTTTAGAGTGGTATCTGCAGACTTTAATCATTGCCAGTCCCTTGGAGGGCAGTTCCCATGGAAATACCGACTAATTATAATCTAAGGCATAAGGCTGTATGTTAATACCCACATGGTCAACAAATGCTCAATAAGCAAACATTTCGTTTCATAAACAGACGAATGGTTCACCCTTCGTCAGACCATTCACATCTTTTGTTCACCCTAGGGTGAACAAAATTATTTGACCATTTCACTGTGGTAATATATAATATAAACAGGGGAGAATAAGATTAGAATTACCAGGAATATGAGGCACTTTATGTGAAGATGAGTGAAATTTTGTGATAAGGGCTCGTAGGGTGAATGACACTGAAATAACTTAAGCAGTGTTGGCCAAAACTATCAGTCTCTACACCGCATAAAAATGACATTACAAATATAAGCTTTTACATGTATATACATACACTGACTGCCTGTCCCCCAACAAAACCAATTAACCTCTTGGTGTAATACCTCACCTTGTCTCCTCAGGGAGATTAGTTTGGTCCCTTCAGGTAACTGGGGACGATCTTTCTTTTTATTCAACTTCTGGAATCTTCTCCTTTCTGCCCAAGACCTACAAAAAGATATTTACTGATACTCAAATGCTTTACTAATAATATAATTAATACACCATTAGAAATTAGAAATTTTTCAATCATAGGGAATTAAGGAAAGTTATCCTCTTTTTTTTTCCCCTTATATCTTACAATACAAACATTATTCTAATATATTTCTTAAACAATTATTTATTAAATAATGAATAGATACTAAATGTTCATTTAATGATTAGGGTCTCAAGCTTAAGAAAAGTAGGTAACCCCTCTACATCATCGCTACCCTTTAAACAAACCTGCCTAACCTTAATTCATACAAATAATGTAAATAATAATAATGTAAATAATCAACAGTACAATTACGGGCTCGCCATAGCCCGTGCTACATGGACACTGTTCCGAGTAGTTAAATCTGAAACAACAACAATAATCAACAGTACTCTACTGTACTTACCTTTTCAAGAGCAAAACTAACAATACTCACTTAAATCTTATAATTTTGATGCTCTTAAACTGGAAACGCTTTTTACAGTACTCTCGAAGCTCTGTCACATCGAGAGACTGTTGTTGTAAGTTTTCGACTGCAGTCTCGATTTTGGCATTACCCACCATCAGTGCAGCAGGTGGAGCCACTCCTATACAAGCAACGTAAGATATATTAGTCATTAATACTCAAAATACCTGAATAGAATAGTATATTTATATGACAAGTTAATAGGTTCTTGGCTATTAAATCTAGAATCCTATATACAGAGGGCTATATGCTTTCCAGACGCCACTTCTCGAGATATGTCTGTTTCCCCAGTTTGGGTTTGTCCGAATAAAAAAGTTCGATAAACAGGTGAGGTGGGAGGTTTGCCTAAAAATGCACGAGAAAATCGTGAGGCGAGCATCCGTCAGGCCTCGCTGCCCGGGTGTAGTGGGGGATGCATTGGTCGAAGATGGGCCTCGTTTGCCAAGTGACTGTGTGGGGCGCCACTCTAGTGCTTCTACCCGTGACATCACAGATTCACTCCCCATTCTTTTAATTTGTCATGAGACTGGAATGTTTATTCTGTGGCTTTGTTGGATATATCATCGAAATCTAGAAACATCCGTGCACCATGTCGGCTCCATATGCACCCATTGTGTCAGTGAAAGCTTCGACAAGCGGGTTACGTAAAAGAATGAGGTCAGTGATGACATTTGAGAAGAAAGTTGAAATAATTACAGTAAGGTAGAGAGTGGAATCCAGAGAAGTATTATGTGCACTGAATATGACATTGGGAAGAGTATGCTTTCATATATTATTAATGCTAAAGCTACCACCTTTGAACAGATGATGGTAGCTTTGACTAGAAGATGCTACCATCTTTTTCTAGAAGTGAAAGTGATAAAGCAATATATAATAGAAATGCAGTAAGTACAGCAAAAGGGGAGGGCTGATAATGCAGTGGCAGTGGTGCAAACAGAAGCATGAAACCAAAAAGCCAGTGGCAGGCTGGCTGTCTACAGAAAAAGCACACAAGTTTCACCAATCTATAAAAAATCTTAAGCAGTGATGAAACTTTCAGAAACTTTGAACTCTACATAGCATTAGGTACATTAGTGTACATGATAAAAGGTTGTCTGCTGACGTTACTGGTGCAGAAGGGTGTTTAAGTAAATTTGCAAAGATGGTGCAGGAACAAAATTTATCTCCATAAGGAGGGAATTATCAGGGGGGAAAGTGGCAAGCCATTATGACTATAGCATTTGGAAGGGGTCAGGATAAGGATTTGAGATGGGACAGGGGGAAAACGAATGGTGCCCAACCAATTGTGGATGGTCGGGAATTGAACACCGACCTGCATGAAGCGAGACCGTCGCTCTACTGTCCAGCCCAAGTGGGAGGACATTTATCTCCAGCGCAAATGTATAATGCCGACAAGACAGGTTTGTGCAGGCGAACGTTACTTACAGACACGACGGCTCATAGTGGAGAAGACTATGAAGGTTATAAGTTGAACAAACTGAGAATTTGTGTTGTGCTGTACTAATGCAGCTGGCACACACAAACTGAAATTACTTGTGAATGGAATTAGCAAAATTCCCAGGGCATTAAATTCAACTAGATGCCTCCCTGTGATTAACAAGAACCAGACAAGTGTATGGATGTCTCGAGTAATTTTTGCAGTGGTTTAATAAGAACTTTGTCCCCGAGGTGAAGAAGCACCTCCAAAGTGTTGGCCTGTCACAAAAAGGCAAAGTTGTGCTGCTTCTAGATAATATTGTCCTGCATCCACAAAGTGATGAGCTAATAAATAGCAATATCATTGGTATGTTCTTATCCCCCAATACAACTTCAGTGATCCAACCCATGGATCAGGGATACTAAAGAACCTTAAGCACCACTATAAGAGGATTTTTACCAGATGTCTTAATAATCAGCGAGGTACAATTAAGGGACCAAGACAACCCACCTGACCAATCAATGCAGGTGATCATCAGTACCAGAAAATGTCAATGCAGTATTGATGTCTTACGGGCTATTCATGCCCGTTCCACCTCTTGGATGGCTTAATTGTCATCAATCAATCAGTCAATGCAGTATTACAGTGCCTGATCAACTGGGCTGTGGTGTATATGTCAGCCTGCAAGCAGATGTATTTAACAGTCAGGTTCCCCCAGACCACTAACCAGGAGGACATGGTAAGAGGCTGGGACATGGGGAAACTGGTCCCTGTAGCCACCACAAGGTAAGGTGGTCAATATATATCCCGGACGAACAGAAATGGTGGGCACCTTTCCTTTCACCTAATGCCTCCATTCACCTAGCAGTGAGTAGGTACTCAGGAATTAGTCAGATTGGTTGCATCCTGGGCGGGGTCAGTAATTCGGCCCTTGAGGGAGGTAGGAAATGGCACCTTGATAAAACCCTAACATGTATGAACACACTTGCACTTCCTGTCTCCCCCGACACATTGGATTATTATTATTATAAAAATTGCAGTGTATGAAGTGAAAGAGATTGTACATCCCTACAATACCTTCTTTATTAGTGTTAAGGGCAAGAGCAGCAGCCAGACTTCCACTTGTCATGGGACACCCTGATGGTCGACTCCCACTCGATGCTGATTTTATGTTATCAATTCCATTTTCCATCACAGTTATTTGTGCTTCATCTCCTTTCTGTTAAGTAAAAAAAATTCAGTGAGGATATATTCATATAAATATAAGAAAATCTGTGGTACCTGTACCAATGTATTTACTAGATAATACTTAAATATGAATAGGGCAAGAAAAATGTTTTAAATCTAGCTTAACCATTATTTCATCAACACAAGTTACAGGCAAAATATGCATATGATCTAAGCTGTCACGTAAGGGTTAACCAACGAAGTTAACATTACAAAAATGCAGAACTCCTAGCAGAATATTCTCCTACTGAGTTTCTGAATGTGACATTGAACCAGATATGCTTATGACCACTTTTCTCTCATTCGTCAATGGTGCAGATCATCTGCTCAAGTTTATATGACAAGTATAAATTGATATAGAATATGTTTGCTTACTGGTTGGTCTTCTTGATCACTGTTCTCTTGTTCAGCATTCTCTTTGTTCTCCTCTGTGTTGTCATTTTCCACTTCCAGAGCTTTTTGGTACTGAAAGCATGGGATGGCACTCAAAGGAATGTCATGTTTCTGAAAAAAACAAGAAATTATTTGAAACATTACAAAAAATAATGGTAACCAATTAAGTACACTCTTTGCTTTTATTTATACAATATATCACATCCTATAACCCAACCCACACATACAAAATGAAACGAAAGTGACACTGTTTTGACCCATCCTGACCCCTTCGTTTTATCACAACTTGATAAGGGATCAGGATAAACTGAAATAGGGTCAAACTCATTTCTTTTCATATGTGTTTGTTGGGTTATTTATTTATTTATTGTTGGGTTATATCAAGACAAATGGGGGAGGGACCTTCAACAAGCCGCCAACTTCCTGTCCTCGCAAGACCACTAGTGTTAGTGGCTCTCAGGTAAACTTATTTCAGCCACGTTACTGTGACTTATTCCCTGGATATCACATCCTAAAGAACAGGGCTGACTGATGAGCAACTCCCTAGCATTTCTCTCTCACATATATTCTCTTCAATTTAGCCATCTATCTGTTGGTTTTAACTTAGCTTAACTATGCTTATTTTGCCTCACATTGTTATGGCATTTAAAGTACTGTACTTACATTTTTAGCTGATCCTGGTATGACTTTTGTATACAATGCCCTTATAAAACTTAAAAATCAGCACTTTCTTGACAATCTACCATGAAAAATTAGGTACCTTAAAGAATATGCTTGAAAAATTTCAACTTTTTCCAACCCTGACAGGAATTGAATACAATACTATACTGTCTTGGCTTAACCCTTAAATGGCTCGGCTAATTAAGTTGTAAAACATGGTGCACATGACAAAAAATAGTTCACAAAACTCATGTAAAAAATATTACATTTAATTGCAGACGAGGAGTCACAATAACGCGGCTGAAATATGTTGACCAAACCACACACTAGAAAGTGAAGGGACGACGATGTTTCTGTCCGCCCTGGACCATTCTCAAGTCAATTGAGAATGGTCCAGGATGGACTGAAACGTCGTCGTCCCTTCATTTTCTAGTGCGTGGTTTGGTTTACATTTAATTATTCATGCAAAAAGCACACGAGGTAATCGCAAATAGTGACTGGAGCTGTTTGAGGGTCAAGAGCTGTATTGACAGGGAATTAATACTTTTAGTCCATGGCATTTTAGTAGCAAGTCACAACTCACCCTAACACTGGCTTGGCCAAGAAAGTAGGGCTTTGCCATAGTACAAACTCTGGATTGCTTGTGGAGATAAACGGGCATGCCGCTGTTGTGGGTCACCTGCACCCAACCCTCGGGCAGCACCTCAAAATGGTTGCTGCCTTTCTCTGAAAAACAAGTTATTTTTATAATTTCATCTAAACTAACATTATACTGTATACAATAACAACAGTCTAGAAATATATAATAATGATAATACTAAACTTGTAATTAGATAAGGTTCAGATGCAATAAGGTGATATTGAAGAAGCCTGAAGACTCTTAGGCTTCTGATGAATCACAGGCATCTGATGAATCACAGATACCATATTTCCCGGCGCGTAAGATACAGCTAAGTTACAAGAATATTTTGTGGAAAAGAATATATTTAAAACTTTCATCATAGATTTACTGAAAGTGATTTTTGTACGAGGAAGTGGTTTTGAACGAGAAAAACACGATTTTGTACCCTCCATTCACTCAAGCAGACTCGAATAGCCTAAGCTACTCTATCCTTTTGAGATGTAATTCATTTTCTCCATAAACTTACTTGAACTTCAACTGGTTCATGTCTCCTAGAACCCAGGTGAATGAAATGTTTATTTACACGGAAGTGTGGGTGACAATTTATATGATTTTGTACCTGTAAATACAGTACAATATATATATTCAGTTGGTAGTAGACCAAAACCATGCATCTTATCTGTAGCAAACACAGTATTTCTACTACGGTATCTTCCTCTTTAAGAACAAATCCACAAGGGCCGTGACGAGGATTCGAACCTGTGTCCGGGAGCATCCCAAACACTGCCTTAATCGACTGAGCTATGACAGGGCCATCTGCCTCTTTTATCACTGAATATAGTAGTAGTAGTAGTAGTAGTAGAGTACTGTATAGTAGTAGGCATCCATCAGTCACAAGAGGCTAAGGAGTCACGCTCTGGTATCTAGGGCGCAAAGCCAGGGTAGATTGATATGGAGGAGAGGCTGTCACCCAAGCAGCAAGTCCACCCTCTCCAGGAGAGGCTGTCACCCAAGCAGCAAGTCCACCCTCTCCAGGAGAGGTTGTCACCCAAGCAGCAAGTCCACCCTCTCCAGGAGAGGCTGTCACCCAAGCAGCAAGTCTACCCTCTCCAGGAGAGGCTGTCACCCAAGCAGCAAGTCCACCTAACTGGAGAGGGTGGACTTTCCCAGCCTTTCTACCCTTTCTACCAGGTTGTACTTTAGATAAACTCGCACAGATTTCATTGTCAACTGAAGAGAGACAATGTCTGTCTTTGCTCTTGATACTGGTTAAAAGAAAAAATTAAACACAAAAATCACTCAAAGATACATTTGCATGCCATTAGAATTAACCTATTTATCACTGTCTCCTGCAGAACTCCTTAGGTACCTTGGGGTTCTGCAGAATCCTGGCAGAGAAACGCTGACACAGACAATCAACAAGTGCAGCAGATTGAGGTTGGGATTTATATCGGTGGAAAAGCCACGATTATTATCCTAAGAATAGGTAAGGAACCATATTTTCTTAACTGCCTTATTCATTTGATTTCCATCAAATTTCAACTCAAATCTTAATTAAAAGTAAGAATTACTTTTCAATTAAGTGAGAAAAGTAAGCAAGGTATAGGAAAGGTTTGTTCCATGAGATCTTTAAGCTCAGTTCTTTAAGCTGAGCTTACTTTAAGCTTAGTCTCCGTGGTGCAGTGGTAAGACACTCGCCTGGCGTTCCGCAAGCGCTTTGTCATGGGTTCGTATCCTGGCCAGGGAGGATTTACTGGGCGCAAATCCTTAACTGTAGCCTCTGTTTAACGCAACAGTAAAATGAGTATTTGATTGTAAAAACGATTCTTCGCGGCGAGGATCGTATTCCAGGGACCATAGGATTAAGGACTTGCCCGAAACGCTACGCGTCCTAGTGGCTGTACAAGAATGTAACAACTCTTGTATACATCTCAAAAAAAAAAAAAAAAAATTCACTTACCAACAAGCACAACTTTTTGTCTCTCATCATACGGTGCTTCTTCTCCATCTCCGAGAACAGTGTCCCTTTTTCTTTTTCTTGGTCCCTTCATTTCCTCTGGAAGTCCTTCTTCCAGAAGGGCATCAATCTCTTCCTCTGGCACCTCAGAATCGTATTCGTAGTCCTCCTCGGAATCTTGTCCATCTAAATTAATAATAGTCATTTAAACAAATAAACTAACAGTGCAACACTTTGTTGACCACAGCACATGTTCTGACCAGGATGAAAAAGGTACGGAAATTATGAAATTATCAAGCTAGTAGGACTATACTGTACGGGGCACTTGGGTGGGATTTGACGGGCACAAAAGTTGGGGTGTGAGGACGCAGTGAAGGAACAGTGCATAACCATTGTGCATAAGACAATCAGCAATCAAACTCCAACCCTGTAAGAAGTGAGGCCATTATGCTACCAACAAATTGAGATTAAAATTTAGTCAAGTCTTATCTTGATAAGACCACTGTGCCCAACCACTTGGGATGGACGGTAGGTCGGCGTTCAATCCCCGACCACCCAAGTGGTTGGGCACCATTCCTCTCCCCCTTCCCATCCCTAATCCTGACCCCTTACAAGTCCTATATAGTTGTAATGGCTTAAGATGCTTTCCCTGATAGTTCCCTTTCCTTATCTTGATGTTCCTCTACATTAATACCATAGTAATATTATGACCATATTTGATTTATTTGTGGTAGAGCATATGTACAGTACAAGGGATATTACTTTGCATATTGTGTTCATCATCATGTTAAAGTGAAAACACACCTGGTTCATCGTTGTCATCCTCATCACCATCGTGTACTTCATCTAAAAGCTGGAAGCCTTCGTACCGAGAGTTTGATAGCATATCGTTACCACCAGATGCCCGAGTAGAAGGTACTGTCAAGAAATCAAAATTAAGAGTACAGTACATACTATATCTTCATTATGCTATGTTGCACACGTAGTTCTGGACCTGTTTTGACCTACACTAAGTTCAAATGCAGACGATGAGTCACAATTAGGTGAGTTCAATAACGTGGCTGAATAATAGGACCGAATAATAACTACAGAAATACACACAATATATGTACCAGGATACAACAGCATCAGACATGCAAACTCCATCCAATTTCTTCTTTTCATTTTTCATCTGTACGGTATATAAATACCATACACTCATATTTTCATGTTATATCGTAATTTCTCATTCACAAACCATAAATACCCAACACACAAAACACAACACTAAGTTATTAAAAGACGTACTATACTGTATACATATGATGCACTAAAAGCTAAGAGTAAACAAAAGTTTAAGTGACGCACGTCCAATTGCTGCCCAAGTCCACAGTGTATCTTCTTTATCCGAGCCCTGGCTGCCACTGCCCGTCACTGGGCACGATGTCTTCCCTTCTTCCCCGTCACTGTCGAGACGGGGAATTTTCCTTGGAGGATCATCGGTGTTAGTCTCTGCTTTGGACATTTCTTAATTTTTTTCTGGAAGGTTAAATTCATGATGAAATAAATGAATTATTTTCACTAAGTGCCAAATTACAAAAAAAAATAAAAATGACAAAATTATCATAACAAAAATAAATGTGTTTATTTTGGCTAGTCATCACAATCATCATGACTCGGCTTCCCACTCCTGCGGTAGGGCGGAATCAATCCGTTCAAGGTTCTGAAAGTGTCTCATCAGGTCAGAACCTGCAACAGTGGGTACAACGCAAGATGATGATATCAGAACATGAATTTATGAATAAATATTGAGGTCACATGATAGAATCGAACTTGTGTCCCTGAACTTTTCAGGAACACAAGTTCACACGCACACTACCAACTGGACTATAATGGACTAAAGAACCTGTGGACAGATTCACGAAGCAGTTACGCAAGCACTTACGAACCTGTCCATCTTTTGTCAATCTTTGGCGGCTTTGTTTACAATTATTAAACAGTTAATGAGCTCCGAAGCACCAGGAGGCTGTTTATAAGAATAACAACAGTTGATTATGAAGTTTTCATGCTTGTAAACTGTTTAATAAATATAAACAAAGCCGTCAACATTTTAGGAAAGATGTACACGTTCGTAAGTAACTGCGTAACCGCTTTGTGAATCTGGCCTCTTGACCAGAAGTACTACCTGACTTACATGCCAGTGGGCACAATATCCAAGAGTAATGCCAATTCATCATCATCAATATTGATTCCACATTGATAACATTGATGCAGCATAAAACCAGCACCACTCTCGGATATTGTGCCCACCGAGATGGAGTTGGGAAGGCACTATGTGGGTTTGATTCCATCGTACAGCCACAATATTTCTTCTGTGGTACAAATTAGAGATATTTAGATTTAGGACAAATTTAGATAGGCACTGGTTTAGCAATAGGGGAGCCGGTCGGCCGAGTGGACAGCACAGTGGACTTGTGATCCTGTGGTCCCGGGTTCGATCCCGGGCGCCGGCAAGAAACAATGGGCAGAGTTTCTTTCACCCTATGCCCCTGTTACCTAGCAGTAAAATAGGTACCTGGGTGTTAGTCAGCTGTCACGGGCTGCTTCCTGGGGGTGGAGGCCTGGTCGAGGACCGGGCCGTGGGGACACTAAAGCCCCGAAATCACCTCAAGATAGGGTTGTGGACAAGTGGGCCAAGCCGAAAAGTAGCATTATTGCAATAAACTATTTAAAATTATTCACGAACGGATTGGACAGGTATAGAAGTGAGAGTTTTAAACGTGACCTGTCTAGTATGGCGCAATACAGTCAAAAGGATTTTAAAGATACTCAAAAAAGACCCTCCATTCGTTTGCATCATCCACATTATGTACAGTGAAACTGTAACGATTTGTAGAAGTAGTTATGGAAATAGTTTCCTATTCTGAATCTGACACCTGTAATGATTTTAAAATCATTGATGAATGTTGCTTCTAAATTTTATTATTGAGAACACAGTTTATAATTACAGATATTTGATGCTGTTATTATTATAACTTTGTCTTAGATAGATAGTTTACTGCAGATCTGTGTAAACTAACTATAAAGTTTTCAAATCGACCATTACGAATAAAGTACAGTATTATAACTCGGTTTCAATTCCTGAAAATGCAGATGTCACTTTAACAGACAACTTAATAAACATCCAGAATAATTTTACAGCCCGTATAAATATTTCAACATTCAGAATGAGAACCAGAACTTATAATTGTTGGGAAAAGATTTAGACCAGCTCATTTGTATTCAAAATTTTGTTTATATATATATACACACATGGAATTTAACACAACAGCATTATTACAACTGTTAATTTTCTTGTGGATATTTAACATGTAAACGCGTTCTACTGATTAAGGGGGGGAAGAAACTGGTTTAGTTTGTTCCTCATTTTATGTTAACGTTTTGTCAGTCTTCATGTCTTCAGGAATATAAAAAGTTGAATACATTCATGAAGATGTCACACTCTTAATCTTATTGAAATTGATGTGATAAAACGAATGTAGAATAGGCTCGAGAGGTTTCAAAGAAGAATTAAGTTAACATATTTATATTTATATATATATGTGTGTAAATCACAAAAATTATATATATATAATTGTAGAAAATGGTACAGTATGTGGAAAAAAATTAATAAAGCATGCATGTTAAAAATTAATTAGTATATAGACACCAGCAGAAGCTCGTTCATGACACCAGCAGGATCTCGTCCAGGACACCAGTAGGACCTTCCTAAGTAAACAACCAAGCGATCTGCTTAGCAAATAAATTTTCATATACGCACAATACACCCAAAAAGCCTACTTCCTGCAAAAAAACGTCATGAAACAAGAGATGCAATTACTGCACCTCTAATGACAATTATACTGTACGTGTATATGCAAGAAAGAAATCCTTATCCACATACTGAAATAAGCATTGTACACACACAAAAAAAATTATGACAGCAGACTGCAATAACGTAGCAGATATACAGTACAGTACAACCCAAATTTACAAATTAGTGTGTAAATTTTGCATAATGACAGAGTACATATGTATCGGGCAATCAACAATAAATCCCAAACATTACCACAAATAATCAAATTGCTATCATTTTGTGTGAATGTTTTATCTGACACATGATTTAGTGCCAGCAGGATATCAGAAAAATCTACACTTAAGAGGCATAGTTAAATTACAAGTAGGCAGGCAATAGGCCTGAAATAACATAATACACTACCCACAGTATTTATTAAAGTACAGTAGTCCAGTTTTCCCCTCTTATAAAATAAGTTATGACATATAAGCTACTCTCATTAACTGTATGCCACAGAATCTTTATACAGGTGTCAATAAACATGTAAATTACATCAACAAATGACACAAGAAGCTCAATTTTGGGTCGAATGGAGAAACGTTTGTTGTTAATCGGCATCAAAATGTAAATTTGATGCTCATTGATGCTGAATTGGGGGGTCCAGACTTCACAACAGTATAGTTTTTCTTAGGCCTCTTGCTAAAAATATTGTAACCAGATTTGAATCGATGAATTACACAAAATACCTTTGTTTGTAGAGAAAACCCCTGAAAGAGTGGTGGTGTCTCCACGCATGAGAGGACGTTGACAGACCTTGTACCACCTAGAGAAAAGGCTACAACCTTACATTGTCCGGTTGAGCCATATCTAGGAAGGTAGTTTGAGGTCGGTTGCAACCCTTGGATCCCACCTCTTTTTGTATATATACAATCCATGAGTGGAGTGGAGCCATTTCATTGTCCTGCTATGCATATGGTGACATAAATGCATTGACAATAGTTCTGATAAAGAGAGGTGACACATTGAAATCACTCCCTCATCAATAGCGCTGTTGCAATGCACATTACAGCTGAAATTCATCGGCTGTCTTTGACTAAAGCACTCTTAACATACTTACATTGAAATCATACATACACATTGAAATCACTCCCTCATCAATAGCGCTGTTGCAATGCATATTACAGCTGAAATTCATCGGCTGTCTTTGACTAAAGCACTCTTAACATACTTACACAAGTCTCAACCTGCAGTGATGAACTAGAGAACTAATCTGGAGATACGATTAATATCTAAAACAAAATGGTCAAAGCTATGATTCAGGGTAAGGTCATTCCTCTTCTTTACCCATCATCACTGCCAGCAAAGGAATTGGTGATTAGGAATTATTACAAAGAGTTTAGTAAATAAAAAAAATCATTATTATTTTGCAAGCATCATATGTTCACCTATAAAACTGTCGCTATGAACTCTAAACCTAAACTAGTTTTAATATATAAAGATACAAAATACTATATCACTATAATAATTAATACTATGATCCCAAAACTTTTGGCAACATTTAGGCATACAGAAGCTAAATTTTAGAAATGGTATTGAACAGTACAGTTGAACACACTCTTGAAACCTCCTTTAACAGTTACAAGATACAATGGATTACTGTACTCTATTACCAAAGCAGATGATCAGGTCCATTGGTAAAATTCCAATTAGGTTCACATACTCAATAAAATACTGTACCACTAGATGAAATTGCCAGTTATGATCAACAAAATAAAATTATAATTTTGATTCTATTTTAAACTATAACTTTTCTTCTAATGTTGATAGTCAAAATACAGTATTGTACCTGTATGCACAAATTTTAACTAATAAAACTCAAGCACTGAATGTAATGAAATGTTTTTTTCTTGTTGGGCCGCATGTCTTCCCGAGCTTAGTTCTGGGACCACCAAGCCTTAGCCCCACACACATCATGCCATCGGAGCCCGTCTGATGCTCCGATGGGCATCACGACAAAGGAGACAAGACCTGAGTATGGCTCCGCTATGCGTGTTAGTGGCTTTGTAAGCATGCAAGAACACTAATGTTATGCATTGAAATGGTATGCTATTTGCCCGAAAGGCTATACGTATTAGTGGCTTTAGGCATAGTATGTATTAGCCCTATCTAGAAATCCAACATTCTGTTTGTAATTCATTTTGTATGTATACCTGAAGAAACATTTATATATTTATTTATTATTACTCTCACAAACCCAATGTTCTTGTATATAAATAAAAAGGAGGGTGCCGACAGTACAATTCATTCTCGGCGCACAATCTAGAATTCTGGGTTCGAATCCCAGGCGAGACGGAAATGGTTCAGCACATTTTCTTTCAGCTAATGCACCTGTTCACCTAGCAGTAAATAGGTACTCAGGAGTTAGTCAGCTTATTGTGGGGTTGCATCCTGGGCAGGATCAGTAATTCAATCACAATCGACTTGAGAATGGTCCAGGACGGACCGAAACATCGTCGTCTCTTCAATTTCTAGTGTGTGGTCTGGTCATCATACTTCAGCCACGTTATTGTGACTCATCGCCTGCATCAGTAATTCAACCTTGGGAGGGGGGGGAAGAGGAGAACCTCGATAAAAGCCTAACTTGTATGACATTCTGGCTTCCTGTCTCCCAGACACAATAAATTATATAAAATAAATAAACTATTTGAAATGATGGGAGTACACATTAACCACAAAGGTGGGGAAAAGCAAACCAGAAAGCATAGGCACAATAAAACGAGTGACAGGTAGAAGGAAATAAGATATGTACTCCCATTTAAACAAGGGAAATGATCAGTTCCCGCTCTTCTAGGTCCCTGACCTAGAACTTTGGTGACCGTTCATTCTCGGTTTACCGGGTGTGAGGAGGCTTGCACGGGCTGAGCAGTGAGATTCACAATCAACTGTGGAATTTCCATTTTTTTTTTTAAGTTTAAGTTTAGTTAACCTAAATCTTATTATTATTATCTTATAGTATCTTATTTCCTTCTAGGAAATAAGATATGAAGTTTCCTTCTAAACTTCCTTAAAGTTTAGTTTAAGTTTACAAGTTTAAGGACTTGACCGAAATGCTAAGCATGCTAGTGACTTTACAAGAATGTAATTTCAACTTAAACTCTATGTTCTCTCTTAACCCCCAATGTACTTTTTGAGATTTTTTTTTTTTTGAGATATATACAAGAGTTGTTACATTCTTGTAGAGCCACTAGTACGCGTAGCGTTTCGGGCAAGTCCTTAATCCTATGGTCCCTGGAATACGATCCCCTGCCGCGAAGAATCGTTTTTTCATCCAAGTACACATTTTACTGTTGCGTTAAACAGAGGCTACAGTTAAGGAATTGCGCCCAGTAAATCCTCCCCGGCCAGGATACGAACCCATGACATAGCGCTCGCGGAACGCCAGGCGAGTGTCTTACCACTACACCACGGAGACTGTTTTAAACTTTGTTGACCAGACCACACACTAGATGGTGAAGGGACGACGATGTTTCGGTCCATCCTGGACTATTCTCAAGTCGATATTACTGAATTGAGTCCAATTGAGTCGAAGCAATCCAATCCATTATTGGATTGCTTCAGTGTCGATGATCTTGGCGACAAAGCCATCGACAAGCCAAAATAATGGCCTGAAGGCACCTCATACACACGAGTGCTCACCAATAGCATTAAAAACTAATTTAACCTAACCTAACCCAGCCTAAGCCTTAAAAATCGTACCCTAACAACGGGGAATGTGGGGGCCTTTGACAAAGCCGCCGGCTTCCTGTTATCGTCGAGGCTACTAGAGATATCGTGGCCTTCAGGTAAATTCAGGTATATATATACGGTTCTGACACGAAATAAATTAGTTTTGGTAGGAAAAAAAAATGTCCTATAGTGTACGAGTTGGCCCTCAAGCCAAGCCAGTGGGGCGACTTGTCCTCATTCACCAATACAAATACTTTTGATTTCAACTCTTGTAACACATACACACTACTACACACAGGTGAGTACAGCCACTAGAGCACAAGAGCACTCTTTAGTGTGTGTATATGAGAGGTGACGCTCGTACACACACACGCTCGGCTCTATATAAATCTCTTTCGCCATTAAATCCTCTTAAAACCAGACAATTACACGGTATTCATGCCACAGCGGCGGGCCTGTCTCCCCCCATCACCACCACATTTGCATAATACCGCCATACAATACCTAAAAAAAATTATAAGGTTCTAAAAATTGGAGCGTCGAGGCGCCTAGTACCCGCGGGTCGACGGCATTTCGTACACTGACGGGGTGGCGGGTCGTTTCGTATACAACGGTATAGTTCGCTTTCGTACCTTGTTTTAGGGGGGTCTCGGTAGGTTACGACGCGTGTATTTTCGTACATGGCAGCCATCTTTACCTGAATTTTGCCTGTATTAACACTCTAGTGGCCTCGGGGAGGACAGGAAGCCGGCGGCTGCTTGTCAACTGTTCATGATTTCTTCAAGCTGGATTTTTTTTTTAGTTTGGACATTTATAGCGAACGGCTTTGGATATCAGATATCCTCAAGAGCTTGTTATAAAGACATTGTTTGAGTCTTGTAGAAGCTGGTATGAGTAATTATAATATAATTTTTTTTTTTTTTTTTTTGAGATATATACAAGAGTTGTTACATTCTTGTAGAGCCACTAGTACGCGTAGCGTTTCGGGCAGGTCCTTAATCCTATGGTCCCTGGAATACGATCCCCTGCCGCGATGAATCGTTTTTTCATCCAAGTACACATTTTACTGTTGCGTTAAACAGAGGCTACAGTTAAGGAATTGCGCCCAGTAAATCCTCCCCGGCCAGGATACGAACCCATGACATAGCGCTCGCGGAACGCCAGGCGAGCGAATAATATTTCTATAATTCAGTGTCCAAGCACCTGGGCTTGGACGGTAGAGCGTCATACAGGTCGGCGTTCAATCCCCAACCGTCCAAGTGGTTGGGCACCATTCCTTTCCCTCCGTCCCATCCCAAATCCTTATTCTGACCCCTTCCCAGTGCTATATAGTCGTAATGGTTTGGCGCTTTCCCTTTGATAATTCCCTCCCTTCCTCCCCTGATTCTATGTATGATTAACGATCCTGTGAGAACTTATTAAGAACCTGTGAGAACCTATTAGATGAACTTACAGCTAGTTTTTATATCTATACCGTAAGGGCGAAGAGGTAGAACAGCCTATTGACATAGCTTGAGTGCATGGGGGAGTTGTGTAAAATTCTTTGTGTCTCGGAGAGGCTGCAGGGTGCAAGTAAATTCAGTAGAATTTCTGGTTGCAATTCTTTTTACCATGTCGTAGCTCAGTCGATTAAGGCAGCGTTTGGGATGCTCTTGGACGTAGGTTCGAATCCCCATCACGGCCCTTGTGGATTTGTTCTATACCGTGAACTTTCCTATGTAATGGGGAAGCAGCACATTGCTGTGTATTCCTAAGCTTGTTAATAATACAAAAAATTAACACGGAAGAAAAAACGATAATCAATATATTGTAAAATTACACGCTCCTTGATCAATATAACAGCTGTCATATTTACCTGAATTTACCTTAGGGGTCAATATATCTTTAGTGGCCTCGAACGAGAAGCAGTAGGCTACTTTTCAAATTTGTTTTCCATGGAGAAAATCAATTATATTATTGAGGTGTTATATACTTTATTACATTATAATTAATTATTTGTAATAAATTATATAGCACCTTCTGCCTTAAACTTACCAGAGACGCGGGAAGTTATAATTATTTTATTAATGGAGTAAGGGTAGATCTCCTTCGCCAAGGTTGATACAATATTGAGTAGGCCAGGACGACCGGGCCGCAGGGACGCTAAGCCCCGGAAGCACCTCAAGGTAGGTAGGCCTATTGGCCCATACAAGGCAGCTCCTATTTATGTTGATACCCAAGCTTATTCACATATATGACTAACCTATGCAGATGAAGTCACAATAACGTGGCTGAAAAAGTTGAGCAATTCCTCACTAGGAATTGAAGAAACGACGACGTTTCAGTCCAACTGTTATCAAGTCGATTGTGATGAGACGAAGATTGAGTATGATTAAGCCGCCCTATAGGTGGCACGGGCATGAATAACCCGTAAGGATGAGACGAATTTCAGATTTAGCTACTTAGAACGAAGTGTCCATGTAGCACGGGCTATGGTGAGCCCGTAATATGATGAGAGGAAGGAGGCAAGGGCTTTAAGTAAGGCAAGAGAGGGGTGAGGAGACGGAAATCTTAGAGGAAGAGCAAGGCGAAAGGTGCGGAAGATAAAGTGTAATAATAGGAATAAGAAAGGGATCGCAAGAGAGAGAACAAGAGAAAAAGAAGGGTAGGCTTATGTTAGGTCACGTATATTAGAAAGTTTAAAACATTTGAGTATAAACTGTGAAAGGGAAGAACATAAGAGCAAAGGCAACTGCAGAAGGCCTATTGGCCCATACGAGGCAGCTCCTATCTATAACCACCCAATCCCACTCATATACTTGTCCAACCCGCGCTTGAAACAATCGAGGGACACCACCTCCACCACGTTACGCGGTAATTGGTTCCACAAATCAGCAACCCTGTTACCGAACCATTATTTACCCAAATCTTTCCTAAATAAAAACTTATCCAGTTTATACCCATTGTTTCGTGTTCTGTCTTGTGTTGATACTTTTAACACCTTATTAATATCCCCTTTGTTATGTCCATTCATCCACTTGTAGACGTCTATTATGTCACATGGTTGTTGATTTGTGGAACCAATTACCGCGTAACGTGGTGGAGTTGGGGTCCCTCCATTGTTTCAAGCGCGGGTTGGACATGTTTATGAGTGGGGTTGGGTGGTTATAGATTGGAGCTGCCTCGTATGGGCCAATAGGCCTTCTGCAGTTATCTTTATTCTTATGTTTTTATATATGTTGGGGCCAGCCTCGGCTTGGACGAGCAGGACTTGTGAAGGGATGTTGGGGCCAGCCTCGGCTTGGACGAGCAGGACTTGTGAAGGGATGTTGGGGCCAGCCTCGGCTTGGACGAGCAGGACTTGTGAAGGGATGTTGGGGACAGCCTCAGCTTGGACGAGCAGGACTTGTGAAGGGATGTTGGGGCCAGCTTCAGCTTGGACGAGCAGGACTTGTGAAGGGATGTTGGGGACAGCCTCAGCTTGGACGAGCAGGACTTGTGAAGGGATGTTGGGGCCAGCCTCAGCTTGGACGAGCAGGACTTGTGAAGGGATGTTGGGGCCAGCTTCAGCTTGGACGAGCAGGACTTGTGAAGGGATGTTGGGGACAGCCTCAGCTTGGACGAGCAGGACTTGTGAAGGGATGTTGGGGCCAGCCTCAGCTTGGACGAGCAGGACTTGTGAAGGGATGTTGGGGCCAGCCTCAGCTTGGACGAGCAGGACTTGTGAAGGGATTCTCCAGCGTAAACAACTCACACCTTCTGAGATGCGACGTTTCCGTCCGTCCATTTCCCGTCACTAATGTGTGGGGTTAAATGTTTATTTGTCCCTGTCACTTTACCGTGAGTCTGTATACATTTGTATAGAAACATTACCGTCAACATCACCGCATGTGTATCAGGAAGTGACCTACAAAATGTTGTAACTTCACTATGACGTCGGCCGCCTTGACAGCACTAGTGTAAGCGTGATAGGATTGTATTATATGCTAGATTCAATTAACCTATAATAGGATACAAAGAATGGAAACGTTTTAAGAAAATTAGAATTGAGGAAATTTCACAAAGCCTATTCGTTCATACGAGGCTACAGGCGAGGAGTCACAATAACGTGGCTGGAATATGTTGACCAGACCACACACTAGAAAGTGAAAGGACGACGACGTTTCGGTCCGTCCTGGACCATTCTCAAGTCGATTATGAGAAAGACTTGAGAAGTTAGAATGAATGACTTCTCAAGCCGCAATCGACTTGAGAATGGTCCAGGACGGACCGAAACGTCGTCGTCCCTTCACCTTCTAGTGTGTGGCCTGGTCAATATACGAGGCTGCTTCCGTATATATATCATCCCTAACCTAACCTTGTCCAATTGGGTTGATAGAAAAGTGCTGTTGAGAAGAGATTAGACTCTACCCAGGCGGCTATCAACTGATACTATTCCTGCAGTAGTCTGAGAGGTAGGAAGTCGTATCAGATTATATTCCTGTAACTATATAGGAGACGTCAGATAGGATGAGAGTGCTTGGACTCACCTTTATGTGGTCGAGGTCCCCACGCCATTATGCTATATCAAAAAAATTTATATGTACAATAAACATTGTAACTAGATTAGCAGGAACGTAACCTGCTTAGCTAAGTGAATTGTGGGGTTCAGTTCCTGAGCTCATTATGTGTGTCTGTATAATCTTTTCCACTGCCGCCCACGGGATGGGTATGGGGGTCCATTACTGCCCATGGGATGGGTATGGAGGTCCATTACTGCCCACGGGATAGGTATTGGGGTTCCATTACTGCCCACGGGATGGGTATGGGGGTCCACTATCACCCACGGGACGGATATGGGGTCCACTACCACCCACAAGATGAGTATGGGGGTCCACCACCACCCACGGGATGAGTATGGGGGTCCATTACTGCCCACGGGATGGGTATGGGGGTCCATTACTGCCCACGGGATGGGTATGGGGGTCCACTACCACCCACGGGATGAGTATTGGGGTCCACTCCACTACCCTCTTGTTACACCCAGGAAGCAGCCCGTAACAGCTGTCTAACTCCCAGGTACCTATTTACTGCTAGGTGAACAGGGGCATCAGGGGAATTTTGTAGGTAGTGATCACGTCTCCCCTAACGCATCCGTCTTCCAGTGTCGTGAGGTTCAGTTCCAGTAGTCTTTCCTCATAGCTCATTCCTCTCTGCTCGGGGACTATATCAATCAACTCAGGGTTGATATAAATCAACCAGTATGTGATCTTCCTGGCTGGGCTTAGCCTATTGGGCTTACCTAATAAATTAATAACTGTAGGTAAGGTTAGGCCAAACCTAATAATGTGTTGAGATTACAAAATGGACATTTAATATCCGTATTTAGAAAATCTTACTTGATGCTACGGTGCCAAATCGCGTCCTATGTCTTTTTCCCAAACCTCACCACCTTACATTTCCTAGGAATGAACTCTAGCAGCCATTGTCTGGGATCAGCAGCTTGCGGGGCACTGTCCCCCAGCAGCAGCGGGAAGTGAAGCGACGAGCGCATTTGGGCAGCACATCCCCCTTAATGGAGGGAAGGTCGGCAATGTGGCACCATCGCCCCGAGTAGAGTGACGTCAC